CGACAAAAGTCTCTAGGCTTGGCTTTTAATCGTATTGCATCGTATTGAACGTTTTTGTATTAGTAATACTGATTGGAGGCATGTGGTAGAACATACACCCCAGAAGCAAATACCATAACGAATATGGGATTCAAAAAGGGAATGATAAACCATTCTAGCTTCTGCAGATCTGATCTCAAATGCAATGTATATTGCATAACATCCAGAGGAGATCTTGGATTTCGAAGTATCTACACGTTTGTTGAATTTTTAATGATTGTCAATGAACAAGCCAAGGAATTTGGAAGTTGGTACGTTGTCAACTTGAATATTATTCAGATGTACGGCTAAAATCTGGCAACGATAGAACACTACTTTAGTTTTCGATAAAACTCAAGAGATTTGAATCAAACCAGTCTCTCACTTTCGTGATGTCCTTACTAATAATTTCATATAACGTGTGATTGTAAGGAGCATACCATGAAATTGTGGTATCATCAGCAAATGAAGGATCTTAATGGATGATAGGTCATTAATGTAAATCAAGAATATAAGTGGGCCCAGTACCGAACCTTGTCGGATGCCGCAAGTAATTTTACCTTTTTTTGAGTCTGAAGTGGTTTTGACCATCTGGGTGCGATCTGCTAATTATGACTCAAACCACTTAAGACTTATTTTAGTTATACCGTATCTACTAAGTTTCCGTGAAAGAATTTTTATGACTCACGCAATCAAATGCTTTGGCTATATCACAGAAGACCGCAGCTACTGTTTCTTTGTCATTTATGTTGAAATAAACATTGTGAAGAAATGAAAATATGGAATCGGAAGTGTTTTTTGCTTTCGGAAAGCAAACTGGCAATCACTTATTATTTTGTTTTCATTTAGAGAGCAAAGGAGAAGAGGAGAATTTAGCCATTGCAGAGATTAGAGAAATTGGACGAAGAGTTGATTGACCATTGAATCTCGAACCTAGAATCTTGAAATATGCAGGTATGTTCTTTGTATAGCATAAATAAGCATCAAGAAACGGAATCTGGAAAAATAGGAGTTCAAAGATTGTACTGAATTTTGCCAGTTTTAAAGTTGAGAACCTAAACTTCAGTGTTGATAAAAAAATATTCTAACTATTTGTTCAGAATGGTTCGTCACGGAAACCAATGGGACAAATCAAATTCTAGGCGGGCCAAGCCGCAGGCAACAGCTAGTCCATGATGAAAAATTCTAATTAGTGAATCTTATCAAACATTTGATTTGAAAGGCATATATTTTTAGGAGTGATTAATTTTTGGGAAAGTTTGTGTCTGAAAGTTACTTCTTTGCATGATCTACACATCCATGTNGGGGGTGATGCCAACCGAAGCCAAGATGATTGATGCGCATAATATTCTTTTCTTGGGGTGTTCGTCCATTCGTGATCGATTCCTTTCAAAAATACAATAAGTATTTCTCGTCGATAGAGTTCAGTCGCAATTGAATCTGAATTACCTAACATGAAATTTCAGAAATTGAGTAAAGTTCAATTACTTCGCTTCATATGAATTCTCACTCTAGATATACTCAGTGTCCAAGACAAGGACCCAATGAACATAATATACAGGGTGTCCCTGGACTTCCTCTTTTCCTCTCGGGAATGTATAGATGGGGTCAAAATATCACCAGTACTTCATATAACTTTTTTTCCTAAAAGTCTTCGTAACCAAGTTACGGGCCCTCGAAGTTACAAAATGAAAAATGTTTTTCTTTGATAACTTTTCAAGTGAATATTCAAAATCATC